CCAGACTGTGAGCTCCTTGAGGTTATGAGTGTGTGTCCCAGCACCCAGCACAGCACCTGGCACGTAGTAGATGCTTAAGAATGACACTTACCTGGAGCTTACCGTGTGCCAGATACTGTTCTAAGAGCTCTACAGATGTTCATTCATTTAATCCTCACAACAAGCATGTGAAACAGGTCCTGTGATTATCTGCATTTCACAGATCAGGCACAGAGAGGTGAAGTGCCTTGCCCAAGGTAGAACAGCTAGTAAGAGGCGGAGGTGGGATTTGAACTGAGGCTCCAGTCATGCTCTCCCACTAGTCAAGGTGTATTTGTTAGATAGAATGAGCTCAGGGGGTGAGTGGACATCCCTGGGGTCACCAGTGAGTGAGGGCAGACCTGGGACCAGACTACCCAGGCCAGAACAGCCTTGGGGGCCTGAGGTCCTTTGGTCCCCACACTCTAGCAAGTGCTGGGTGATCATTCCAGGGTGAACTCTAGTTCTGCTCAGGGGTTCGCTGGTCCCTGGTGTCCTGTTGACCATAGACCAAAGCAGTCTCCTGGGAGGCTTCCCCAAAGCCTGGGAGAACCTACTTTTGCTTCCTTCAAGGTCATCCCAGATGGGGCAGCTTTAGCCAAAACTGGATGGTGTGAGCCTTGCGCAGGGTGAAAGAAGGCATGGGCGGGAAAGACCAGGCATGGACAGAGGGGGTCTGGGGGCGCGGGATGTGAGATGAAGTCTGGAGGGGCACCCTTGACTTTCCCACTTTGGAGGGAGATGTGGTGGCCTGGGAAGTGGCTGAGGAGGCTCTGGGGTCAAAGCCAAAGGCATCTCATTGTGTGAGGGTGGGGGCTTCCAGTCTTATCGACCTGACCACCAAGGGCCATGGGCTGAGGGTGCAAAGGACAGAGGGGCACAGGCTGGGGGCAAAGAAGGGAGGCGAATGGAGCCGGTCACGTGGGGTGGTTGCTTTCCTAATGGGACAAAAGAGGCTGGAAGTCAACCTGGGAGAGCCCGACAGGAAACAGGAATGGGGGAGACAGACCAGCTGGGCCAAAGCAGGTGCAACTGATGGGGAAGGGTTGGTCCCAGGTGGCTCAGGGGCACTTGAGTCAGGCAGGAGCCTGCAGGTGCTCTTATCCCTCAGCCCAGAAGGGTAATCAGCAAGTTTACAGGTTATTTGTCCTCTGCTCTTCAGTCCAGAACAGCGCTCGCTTGCTTGACTGATAGAGTCCCACCTGACCATGGGGAGGTGTCTTCATTAAAACCCCAGATTTTGTCTGGATTACCTTAGGCTCAACAAAGCTCACTCGATCTTCTCTGGTTGTACATCTTACCCTCAAGATGCAACTAACATGTAGAGATTTTTGCAGAAGGGCTTGGTGGGTGGGGTTCTCAGGCTTGGAGTGCCAGATAGAATGATTTCTTCAATGGGAACGGATCATGCCCACGGACCCCGGAACAGATTGGAACCTGCAACACCTAGAATTCTTCTGAGGTCCAAGAAGAAACCGTCTCTAGCAGATGCCATGGCAGCCACAGGGCATGTGTCAGAGCATTTACTAGCACTGTTTAAGGAAATCAGTTGAGGTATTTTCTAAGTTTGATGTCCTGCCACTATTTCTTCAAAGAAAAAGTGGTCCCAGAGTGCAACATAGAAAACAAATGAAAGGGAAACTGGGTCCTGGTATGTCTCTCGGTTGTCTTCCTAGGTCCTATGGGGGCCCCTGAGGCAGTGTGAGGGGGCCTTTTTGGAGAGCAGCCCTGGGCAGACCAGGGCCCAGTATGGCCTGAAGCTCCTGTGCGGTTGGCTGCCTTTCCTGACCATTAATCGCTACTAAGTGTCATTACTGCTAATAAAATTAACCGACTTTATACTGGACTCCTGGGGCCATCAATCACAGGGTCTATTACACGAAATTAAAAAAACAGTGGCCTGTTGATGGGAGGAAAATGTGTTTGCCGAGCCTGGCTCACAAGTGCAGCGTAGGGTGTGCTGGTACTCCACAGCTGTCAGAAGGTGGTGACCAGGGACGGCACCCTTAATTAGACAAACTGACTCTCAGCCTTGACATTGTTCTACAGATAGGAGTGTCTCAAGTAAGAACAGAGATGACCACAGGGAGACTCTGGGGCCAGGGGCTGAAAAGCTTCCCCAATTCTCCCTCCCATTTTCACCTCTGTTCCTCTCTATGGGTTTGGTTCACTCTTTTTCTCTCTCTTTGGACCAGCTTTCTATCTCTTGAGTTACAAGCCCAAAGAAAGAGAAAACAACTGTATGCTGTCTTAAGTCAAAGAAAGAGAGAGAGCAAATGTATGCTCTCTTAAGTCAAATTCCAAATTCCCAGAGAAAGAACTGATTGGCCCAGCCTGGGTCATGTGATCCTCAGTGGTCCAATCAGCAGGCCAGAGCAGCAAGATCATATGGTATAAAATGGCTGACAGGGTAACCATGTAGATAGAAGGAACAGGTAGGCAGCCAACCCAACAGGTGTCTGAAAGAGTAATTTAAAGGGCTTAGTAATAAGCACTCAGAATGTGGTAGCTAAGGGAGTTCCCTGATGGTCCAGTGGTTAAGACTTGGCACTTTCACTGTTGGGCCTGGGTTCAATCCCTGGTCAGGGGATTAAGACCCCACAAGCCACATGGCATGGCCAAAAAAAACCCCGTGGTAGATAATATTATATAATAGAATATAAATTATACATTATATATTATATAATATAGCTATAATGATATAAAAATAATAGCTATTGTTCTTATAATGGAATTTGATCCTTGAAGGATCTGCTGTCCTGTTGGCCAAAATTCCCATCATTCCCTGCTCGTTCTCTCATCTGTTAATCACTACTACAAGGGAAACACAAGAACTGCATGAACAGAAGTTGCCCCTCACACCAGTCCCTGGTGTGGGGAGGAAGACATTTGAGGGGCTAGATGGCTGCTGCACGCTTTGCTCCTGCAGCCCCCAAGCTGCCCTCCACACCGGAAGTCAGTCAGGGTGGGGTCTCCTGGGCTGGAGTTGACATTGGGTTCTGCTCTGGACCTGCCAAGGGTCAAGCTCTAAGGGTTTCCTGCCAGACTGCAGGGAGGGGTTTGGGTGTAGACCTGGTGGACTGGAAATTTACCCATTTGCCCCCAGATTAATGATTAACGGGTCCCTGCCCTCACCCTGTCTGGGAGGGGAGCCCAGGGCCAGGCTGGGCCAGGAGGAGCCCGATAGCATCTGTCTCTGCTCGGGGGTTTCCGAGATTTGCTCCACACTGGGTTGGCTGCACCTGATGGATTTGGGATCTACGGGCACTTTCTGGGGGCAGCTGGGACCCGGCCAGGACCCACACCCTCCCTGGGGTGGACGGGGAAGGTGTGGCATCCAGCCAGATGTCCTGGCTGGGGCAGGTGGCTCCAAACAGGAGAGCCGCGCCCTTGGCTCTGTGGGATGTGCGCCTCTCTGACCACTCAGGGCTTGGCCACAGGGCTTGCCTTGGCTGGGGGCTCTTGAGCACGATGGGGTGCAGCCCAGACCTGGCCACACAAGTGACAAGGGCCCCATCCAAGCAGGAGCTTTAAGAGCCATCGCCTCGTTCCACCTTTGATCTTTTACCACGGCCACAAGGCCAGCAAATTCCAGAAAGGGGCTGCTTCCTCCAGCCTGGGTGCCGGAATGATGTATATTTCACCCGCTCCGAGGGCCGCCAGGGTACAGGACAGCATATATTTTGAACTGGGAGAAACATCTCATGGACCGCTTCTGGGCGGAGGGAGGGTGAGCTCTATGTGTAGTCCAGAGGGCATGGGTTCGATCCATGGTGGGGGAACTATGATGCCGCGGGGCACAGCCAAAAAAAAAAAAAAAAAAATCACTGTAGTCCCCACCTTGCTGCTGATCTGCTGTAAGACTCAAGTTAGTCACTGCCTCTTTGTAAAACCTTTGTTTCCTTATCTGTACAAAGGGAAGACTCTGCCCAGCTTAGAGAGTAAAACATCTTGCAAGAGGAAAGAGTTTTGAGAAACTCCAGCTAGCAGGAAAGTGAAACAGCAAGTCCCAGGCCCTGTGGTTAGTAACTTTTCAAATAATCCTCCCAGCAGCCCCAGGAGGTAGCGAGGATCACACTTTCCATTTTCCAGAGGAGAAAATCAGTGCTTCTAGGTTACACAGCTAGGAAGTGACGGGCCACTGGAACGTGGCAGCCTGACGTCAGCATCCGTGGACTTCAGATATAGTAGAGCAAAGAGTCTGGAGCTGGTGGCCTGATGAAAATATACTTCCTTCATCTTCATCCACCTGTCAGTCCATCCACCCATCCTTCCTTCCTCCCTTCATCTCTCCATCCTTCCACCTTTCCATCCATTCAGGTATTCCCTAAGTATCTTTTTGTAACAGGCATGGAGTGGCCAGATGGTTAAAGATCTCTCTGGGGATTATGGAAACAAGTTAGGTTGGCATGGCATTACTAGGGCAACAACCTAATGTAAGGGAGAGAGGAATACCAGGGAAATTGGCTGGACGTCTTCTTACTGTCGACATCCCTCTGCCTGCCCCTCTTAGGAACATACAAGCCAGGCAGCAGCCAATGCTATGTGCAATGTTTGATCCCCAAAGCTGCCCAGGGAATGTGGAAAATATACAGATTCCCAGGTCCTATTCCAGACCAAGAGAAGCAGAATTGCTAAGTATAGATCCTGGATATCTGTATTTTTAATAAGCACCTCAGATGATTTTTCTGATTGGGCAAGTTTGGGGAATAAGGTGGGTAAGAAGAGCAGAGACTTTGGCTTCTGGAAGACTTGGGTTTGAGATCTTGCACTAGCTCTTGTTATAAGCACCTTGGTTTCCTGCTCTGTAAAGTGGGGGTGTGACCCCATGGGGCCAGCCTCCCTCCTAGAAGGGCGAACAGTGCAGCCCCCAGGAAGGCCCTTCCACTCACCTGCCCCACATTCTTAGGGATTGTCGTCCTTCCTCCTCCCCTGTCACGACCCAAGGGTCACTGGTCTCCCTTCTCTCTTGCCCCCTCTAGCCTAACCGGGCGGGAGGTCCTGACACCCTTCCCGGGTCTGGGCACCGCCCCTGCCCCAGCACAGGGTGGGGCCCACCTGAAGCAGTGTGACCTCTTGAAGCTGTCCCGCCGGCAGAAGCAGCTCTGCCGGCGGGAGCCAGGCCTGGCTGAGACCCTGCAGGATGCCGCACACCTCAGCCTGCTCGAGTGCCAGTTCCAGTTCCGGCATGAGCGCTGGAACTGCAGCCTAGAGGGGAGGACGGGGCTGCTCAAGAGAGGTAGGGAGGCGGGCTGGGAGGAGGCGGGCTGGGAGGAGGCGGGCTGGGGGGAGGCGGGCTGGGAGGGAGGAGGGCTGGGGGGAGGAGGGCTGGGAGGGAGGAGGGCTGGGGGGAGGAGGGCTGGGGGGAGGAGGGCTGGGAGGGAGGAGGGTTGGTGAGGAGGAGGCTGCCTTTCCCACTCCAACATTCCCAAGACCACGTTGCCCTTACGAGCCCAGCGCAGTCCTGAGTAAGAAGGGTCCTGGAGCTAATGAGGCCTAGCTTTTCCCTGTTTGGCGGGGGCAGGGGAGCAAGGAGGACACAAGAGAGGAGAGGAGGCGCACAACCCATTCCTGGAAGAGCCCACAGATGAGATGGGTGGTCCCCCAGTCCCTTCCCTCAGCCTCCATACACACACACACTCACACTCACACACTCACACACTCACACACTCTCACACTCACACGCACACTCACACACACACACTCACACACACTCACACTCACAAAGGTATGAGAGCAGATAAGGAGGAATGGCAGTTAATAGCTGGCCAAGTGACATGACACAGGCCAACAACAGACTTCATTTGTTCATTGACTCACCTGCTTCTTTGTTGATCATAAGCATCAGTCCATGCTTCCCTCCCTCCCTTCCATTCCCACGCTCCCTCCCTCCCTCCCTTCCATGCCCACGCTCCCTCCCTCCCTCCCTTCCATTCCCACGCTCCCTCCCTCCCTCCCTGCCCGCCCCATGTCTCCACTTGGCCATCATTTCACTAAGCATCTGGTGAGGCTCTCAGTGAGCCAGGCACTGTGCTGGGTGCTGGAGATACGGAGCCGAACAAGACCCCATCTTCCCTCAGAAAGCATTCAGCCCAAGTGGGGGAAAGGTCATCCTGTGACTATCACCAAGCATCAGTGGGCTTTTGACAAAAAAGGGAGCGATGGTGCATCAGAGCAGCCCACCCCCTTTCAGGCAACTGTTCCCCGTGGCTGGGAGCGTCTGGGCAGAGCTGATGCCCCCCCACCTCAGTGCCACAAGCACCCCAGGTATATCAGAGAGCAGGTAGAAGGTAGTGAGCTCACGGGGAGGCCAGCTCTGGGCTGCACCCCATAGTGCAAGCGTTGTGATCATCCTGGAAGTGGGTGGATGGTTGGTTTGGGACCAGTCAGGTGGGAGACCCGAGGTCACTCAGTCATTGGGTCTACTCCCCAGTAGGTAGCAGAGGGTGACATTGGGAGGCATCAGGAAGCATATTTCAGAGGATCAGGGGCTCAGAAACGGGGTGTCCAACTTGCTCACACATCAGCTTGGAGTCAAGATCAATGGTTTAACCCACTTCGCCACTCGCCAGATGCCCGTGTCACTTCTCTCTGCATCTGTGTTCTCACCTGTTTAGTAGAAGGAGAAGCCCCTGTCCTGCTGCCCTTAGAACCTGGGCACACACTCCCTTGGGAATTGGAAGTTCCATTTAAACAGCAACTTGCATGCTGAGTTTAAAGGGCAGGTGACAGGGAGGCTGCCCTGAGCTGTGCCCTCAGGTTCACAGGCCCTTCATCCTGCTCGCCACAGTGGCCCCACCACCCACTGTATCCTCAGAGGGCAGCAGACAGCCCCTGAGCCCACTCTCCTCCTCCCTCCCGATCCCCCCGGGGCCCGGCCCAGGTTTCAAGGAGACGGCCTTCCTGTACGCGGTGTCCTCGGCCGCCCTCACGCACACTCTGGCCCGGGCCTGCAGCGCCGGGCGCATGGAGCGTTGCACCTGTGATGACTCTCCGGGCCTGGAGAGCCGGCAGGCCTGGCAGTGGGGTGTGTGCGGCGACAACCTCAAGTACAGCACCAAATTCCTGAACAACTTCCTGGGGCCCAAGAGAGGAAGCAAAGACCTGCGGGCACGGGTAGATGCCCACAACACCCACGTGGGCATCAAGGTGAGCACGTTCCCGGGTGACCCAAGCCCTTCCCAGCCAGAGTGCAGGGCTGGGGAGCGAGGTCTCTAGGAGGCCATTATCCGCCCTGCCCCCAGCACACGCACAGAGCTGGCCCAGGATGAACCTCATCCTTGCAACCAACATTCCTTGGGCATCCATTCTGGACCATTACCAGGTACCAGGAAGTAGGGAAGGATCCTGGGCGTCACTGTCGGCTGGGCAGCAGGTGGGAGCTTGGCTCAGGATGGGGCCTTGGTGAGGCAGAAACGTGTTTGGAGAAGGGTCTCCATTCCAAGCACTGGCCTTCCTGGAGGTCCTAGAAGCCAAGGTCGTTTGAAAACTGATCTGGTACAACCCCTGTCCCTTCTCCATTTTACAGATGGGAAGACAGAGGAGGCCCAGAGAGGGGAAGGAACTTGGCTGAGGTCACACAGTAGTGGGAGGGCGGGAGGGTAAAAAGTATCTAGGTCTACTCGGACCAGAAAGCTGGGAGAGGCTAGGCCTCCATTTCTTTAAGAAATTGAGTTCTGTGTTCTGTTTCCTTATCACTGAGTTTGTGTAAACCAGGGCTGCTGTGTTCAGTTGTGCAAGCTGTCTGCTCCACAAGGACTTTGGGCCAGGGGAGGAGCTGGGGCTAACATCCGGCCCACACTGCTCTCACCAAGATGTGAGGACCGTCTCTGCCCAGAGGAAGGGGCGCCTAGAGCTAGTTTTCACTAAGGTGCCACGTGGGCCAGCTAGAGTCTTATCTGCACCCCCCATGGGGACCTTCCCCTGTCTCTTTCCCATCCTCCTGTTGCTTCCCAGCCAGGGTTGGTACTCTGGGGTCTGTGGGCCTGGGTCTCTGACCACGCCTCCCTTCCGCCTCTCCTCGCAGGCCGTGAAGAGTGGCCTCAGGACCACGTGTAAGTGCCACGGCGTGTCGGGCTCCTGCGCCGTGCGTACCTGCTGGAAGCAGCTCTCCCCGTTCCGCGAGACAGGCCAGGTGTTAAAGCTGCGCCACGACTCAGCCGTCAAGGTGTCCAGCGCCACCAACGAGGCCTTGGGCCGCCTGGAGCTGTGGGCACCGGCCAGAGCAGGCAGCTCCACCAGGGGCCCGGCCCCACGGCCCGGGGACCTGGTCTACATGGAGGACTCACCCAGCTTCTGCCGGCCCAGCAAGTACTCGCCCGGCACAGCGGGCAGGGTGTGCTCCCGGGAGGCCAGCTGCAGCAGCCTGTGCTGCGGGCGGGGCTATGACACCCAGAGCCGCCTGGTGGCCTTCTCCTGCCACTGCCAGGTGCAGTGGTGTTGCTACGTGGAGTGCCAGCAGTGCGTGCAGGAGGAGCTTGTGTACACCTGTAAGCATTAGGCCCCCTGCCCAGTGTGGCAGCTGGACTCTGCCAGGACCTCGCATGGCACCGGGCCACCTCGAGGCCACCCAGATGTCCAGCCAGCCCCCCTGGGCAGGTGCATGCAGCGTGCATGCACTTACCCACGTGAGTGCACATGTGTTCCTCTCCCCACTGGGTCCCATCAGCCTTCCCCTCCCTCAACTCGAAAGGTGGGAGCCCCACCCCTGAACCCAAGGGTCCCCAGCCTTGTTGAGGACTTGGAGCGGGAGGGCAGAGTGGGAAGGATGTGGAGGGAAATAAGGGAGGCCAAGAGAAGGGCAGGACTGAGGTTTTGGAGAGGAGAGGGGGTGCATCCCGCCATCTCGATTCCTGGGATTAGTGGCCTAAAGCCAGCAAGATGTTGGGAGGTGAGCTTCTGGGCCAGGAAGGCTCAGGGAGGCAGGGTCAGTCAGAAGCAAAGGCCGGAGTCTGCCTGGGATGGGTCAGTCCAGCTGTAAGTGTGACGGGGGTCCACTTGTGCTGTGAGGCCCCAGTGCAGCTGGCATTCGTGATACACAAGACTTGGTTTATGAGTTCGGATTCGGTTACGTTTGTACACTCACAGCTACTCATCTAATTCAGATTTTTACCAGGGCTAGCGTTATAGGCGTGGGAAAGTCTTTGCTAAGGCTGGTGCCTTGGGGGACCCCTTCATTTACTAATGGTCCCCCACTTTGGCTCTTACCTGAGGAAGAGAAGTGACTGCTAATTCCCTCTGATGCTGTGGACCTTTCCACTGCTGCCTACTGAGGCCCTGAGAGGGAGGAGAGAGAGGATGGTACATACACACGGGTGCACACAGGCACCCCCCCCCCCACATGCATGCACACCCCTTGGACCTGCCAGGCTGAGGGCTCTCATTCAGTGACACACACCTCTCTGGTTCAGGATCAAGACCTTGCAGGGGTCACTTTGCTGGAAGCTGTGTGCTTTCCCAGAGCAGAGCCCGATGCCAGCCGGGAGGAAGTGACCTCCTTCGGGACGCCCTTGGCTGCTTTGCTGGCCCTGCCGCGCCCTCTGTCAGCTTCCTTTCTCCCGGAACCCAGAGTTGCTGACCCTTTGCTGAGACAGGAAACTCTTCAGAAGCAGCCGAATGCTGAGACACCATCTGTGCAAGGCCCAGGAGGAAGCCCCCGCGGCTCCCCGTGATCTCCAAGGGCGAGGAGAAGCTGCCCCGTCTTCGGTGAATCAGGCAGCCTCCGGAGGGCTGCTGGAAGGATCTTTGGCAGCAGAGGCTCTGATGAGAAGCCAAATTGACCTGAGGCCCCTCCCGAGAGTGACTTTGCTGACCCAAGCAGCTGGCCCACATCTTGGCAGGAAGAGAAAAAGGACAGAGGGCTGTTTCCCTAGTTTCTTCCGCCCCCCAATCGCAAGGAGACTTTCTCTCTGCCAGCCCCCTCTATCCTCCTCCTCTGAGACCCCAACCCTGCCTCCACCCTGGCTCAGCCCTAGGCATAAGGCAGCAGGAAGAGGGCGCCCAGTCCACCAACATGCCGTCTGCATCCCAAGTCCATGGCTGGCAGTGTCGGGGTGGCAGGAAGATAAAGGGTAGCCTCTGAGGGACTGTGGCCACAGTTGGCCACTAACACTGACCAGGCCAAGGGCACGGGTCAGGCTCTGAGGGCCCCTCGGCCTGTGAGGTCTTCCCTGTGCAGCCATCTCCCCTCTTCTGCTTCCCTGTTCCCACCCCTTTCTCTTCCAATTGCCCCCAAAGGTCCACCTCAGCCCCGCTGGGGCCCCTGGGACCAGTGACCACGGACCTCTCCTTCCACAGCTTTAGGGGAAACGCTCACAGGGTATTTTTTTTGTCTACCTCGCATATATAGTTTTTAGGGCAAAAGAGAATAATTTATATAGCTAAGAGATATGAGAAAATATTTATGTTATTTATATAGTTTCTATGTTTTATGGGCAGCCGCTCTGGGGCTTGTGTATTCTGCTGGAAGCCGTCTATCTGGGGAGATGCAGCTGCCCTGACTGGGGCGCCCACCCAGCTGGACACCAGGTGGCCGGGGAGAAGGTCTTGTGGGCTCCGTGTCCCTTGACCGGGACTGTCCCAGAGCTCGTGAGCAGCATCCCCTCTGCACAAGAGCTCTGATGGGCTTGATCCGGACCCTCCTTGTAAAGTCGTTGTAAATTCTCTGCTCTTCTGGGTCCCAGGCCCCCTCTTCTGCTCTGGCCAAACTTGTCTTGCTCATGGTAATACTGATGACAAGGACGACCACACTTTGCATCTGTAAAGCACTTTTGATCTTTGGAAACCCTTTTGTCCCTTTAATCTCACTTGATTTCCCCATTATCCCTGTGAGGTAGGGGTGGCTACGTAACTGTGCCCATTTTACAAGATGCGGCCCAGAGATGGAGGGCTGTGTTCAAAGTCACACTGAAGAGGTTCTTTCAGTGAATATTTATTGAACGTTAACCTGGGCCAGATTATGGGAGCTGACTTACCCAGAGCCTGGGAGCCCCAAGTCTGGATCCACCCCGAGTCCAAGAACCCAGGGATGCGGCTGCTTCCCTGGCTGTGTGCGACCCTGCCTTTTGGATCTCGGCAGCATGTCAGCATGTCCTGTGTCTCAGAGGCTGGGACTGCCTGAGAGGCCTGGAGAGATGAGGACCCCGTAGACGCCACTCCAGGGGCCCCACCACTGGGCCCTCCCTCCTTCTGCCCACACCGCCTGAGCGGGCTGGGTTACCACACAGGGCCCCTGCCAGCCCACAGATGGGCTTTGTTTGCTCTCATCTGGGTTCTTCTTTTAAACATGATTTGTCTTCAATTGGCTTTCTGGCTTCTCTTGTGAAATCAGCTGCACTGGCAAATTGGTCCTGCATTCCCACCTTGGCCGCAGTCAGCTAGAGAGAGGGACCCCTATCAGACAGGATGCACGGGGGCTCCCCAGTTTGCTAGGTACCTCCCACCTCACTTGTGCGTGCTGCCGCCTGGCTCTTGTGGGCACATCATGTCTGCCCCTGGTCCAGATAAGCCCAGCTTCCCTGGTGTCCTCCACTGGCTGACAGAGCGACAGAGACACCCATGCCAGCCCTGAAGATTATTTCTTGCTTCCCAGAATTTCCTTTCTCAACAACCATGAACTTCAAAAGCTTTTGTCTCAGCACATTTTAGAATCACAACCAGACCTATCGTATATCGAGCACCTGTTCTGTTCATCCGTTCAGTCAGCGATGGTTTAGGGAGCTCCTACTGAGGGCCAGCCACCACCCCCGGTGCTGGGGTGCAGCAGTGAAGGAGACCAAGTCCCTGCCTCGTGGGGCTGCCACTCCAGCGGGAGAGAGAGAGACAATAAACCCATAAACCACGTGTCAGCTATTTGTACCTATTTTGTCTCGCTTTGTTGCAATAACTCTGCGTATTGGACACGACCATGCCCATCTCATGGTCAAGGAAACGGAGGCTATGAGGTGTGAAGGCTCCCGAATGCCACTGGCAAGCTTTGGTCTCAGGATTAGAACACAGAGCTGCTGGCCTCCGAAGTATGAGTTCTTGCCTCCCCTCAGAAGTATGTAGCACGGGGGTGGGTCATCCCATTCTATGGATTCTGGGGAAGCTGAGGCCCAGAGGAAAGAGGTGACCCACCCAAGGTTATATACCTGGTTGGACCAGGCCAGAGCCTGGGTCCCCTCCTGGAGATGACAAGTAGTTTTAGTGCCCGCATGCTACGGCCAGCCATGCAGGTTGGGGTGGGGCAAGTTAAGGCAGAGCAGGAGCCTTCAGGGACTTATGGTTCCGTAGGAGAAATGAGACACACGGCCGTGCAATGGTTCCGGTCATTTACTTGTCAGCCTCAGAGTCCCTCCCTGGCCACTGCCCTCCCAGCATGCTTTGGGAAGTGCAAGTGCATGTCCCCAACCAGCTGCTGCTCCTGGGGGTCTGATGGGGGTGGAGGCCTCTTTTGGGAGCAAAGGTCAGCAGAGAAGCCTTGTCCCTGCCCTGCCCTGGTTCTTCAGCCTGCTGGGATCCACACGGGGTCTCCGGGGAGGCAGGCAGAAGGAGATTCGCAGTCCAACCGTGAGGGCACCTGCATTTCCACCTGCGTGCCTGTTCTGATGTGTTCCTTCTACCCTGTGTTCCTGGGCCCGGAGACGGGCTGGTTCTGAGCAGTGACAGAGGTGCCACAAGGAGCAGATATATATATATATACCTATGTAGATGGGGCTGGGGAGAGAGAGAGGGAAATACATGTATATATTGTTGATCCATTTGTGAGAACACTGCAGACACAAATAATTTATCACCAATCTCCTAAAACCCAGAACATTCTCCAAAAGAATCACAAGGCTGTCATCACATCTGAGAGATGTAACATTGACACAATATTATCTACCACACACTCCTTATTCAAACTGCCCTAATTGTCCCTCAAAATATCCTTCAGAGCTTTTTTCCTGATCCAGGATCCACTCAAGAATCGGGCACTGAATGTGCTGTCATGTCTCTCTAGCCCCCTCTAATCTAGCAGAGTCTCCTTGCCTTCTTTGTTTTCACGACGTTGATGTTTTTGAAGAGTTCAGGCTGGCTGTCTTGTAGAATGTCTCTCAACTGAGATTTGTCTGATTGTTTCCTTATGATTAGATTTTGGTTAAACATTTTGGCAAGAGGTCTACTTGGTGGTGTGCACCGTTCTCTGTGCATGCTGTCAGGGGCCACCATTTGTCAACATTACTGGTGATGCTGAATTTCATCACTTGGTTTAGGTGGTTTCCCCCAGGTCTCTCCCATGTAAAGTTACCTTTTCCCCTTTGTGGTCCATGACTCATCTGTAGGGTGATGCTTGGAGACTCTGGGACCATCCTGTTGCCCAGCAACGCTTTACCCAGTAGTTTCAGCATCCATTGGTGATCCTTGTCCAAATCAATTGCAAATGGTGATTTTTTGATTCCATAATTCCTTGCCTATTTTTCAGTTGGTATTCTTCTGTAAAGAAGAGCTTTTCCTTCTCTGTTACCACCATACCATTCC